TGTCTGTAGTTGTGAATACTTCTTATTGAGAGCAATGGCAAACATTTTTTGTTTTAAAAAGAGGGTGCTTAACGTTTTAAAGACTGAATAAAATAATAATAATAGTACCTTATTGAAAGGAAGTAAATGTGCAAATAAAATATAGCCTTGGAAAATCAAAGGTAACACACCATGAAAAATAACCATATTTTTGGTTTGTCTAGCTCCTCAAAGAAAATGCCCTAGACTACTGAAATTAATATCAATCCATAACTGATATTCTGCTCAGTGCAGCTTATTTGTTCTTACATAGTAAAAGAAAGATGTTTTATGTTTAAAGTCAGACTAACTCAGAAGCATTCAAAGAATAGTTAAGAATATGTTGGATATGCATGGCTTCTTCTGAATAAAAAACACGGCTGGCTTTAAATAACACATACATACATACAGCAATATCTCATTATTCAGCTCAGAAAGAGTAGAGAAAACCCCTGCAGACAAAAGTGCCACAGAGCAACAGGAAGGACAAATCTTTTCCTAACAGCTACCTGATTAGGTCCATTTCAGGACAATGAAAACCAGCTTGAAACCTGGGAATTATCTAGTATAACAAAATCAAAACATAAAGAGTGAGTGAGTGAGTGAGTGAGTGTGTGTGTGTGTGTGTGTGTGTGTGTGTGTGTGAGTGTGTGTGTGTATGTATGTATAGAGAGAGGAGGGGTTACTGCTATTTGCCATAGAATGATGGCATATTGTTTTATCTGAATTCATGAAAATGAACTTGATTATTAATTTCTTAACTATAAAAGAGTGGGATCTGTTTCTCAATTGCTCCATAAGAGAAGTACAAATAATGGAATTTGTTCCCATCCGAACATTAATCTTCCTCCTGGATGGATAGACATTTGCACAAAAGTGAGTCTTGTCTCTGATTAAGCATGTTGAAGATTACTGCCAAACTGAAAGGGAAGAGGCTACTGGCAAGTCTAAATGAATACAATTATGTCAAATTATGGATGTTATATGCACTGCCTATGAGAAACAGTTGCTTTTCATAAGCTATAATACTCTACGAACTTACTTGTGCATCGGAGTGAATGTTGTCATACTTTTTGGGATGACTGAATTTGTATGTGCATAATAATGGCTAATTTTAAAATTCAGAGCTTTTCACCATGCATTTTCACTATACCTATTTTTATCTTTGCAAACAAAACCATTTTTAATCCTTTCAACCTTTTTCAAGTCCTCTTTTCATTTTCTTAGGCACAATTACATGGATGTTACATGTTAAGAGGAAAGCAGAAGAAATAGGAAATACCATAAAGAAAAAGCAGGAAGCCAAAGACATTCTTTGACAACCAAAGGATCTATCAGTTCCCTACAAATTTTTTAAATTGTCAAACATTGCCCACAATTTCTGTTTCCAGCATTAAGATTCCAGCGTCGTTTCTGTTTTGAAAATGCAGGTTATAGAAAAATTATATATGTCCACTCAGAAATAAACTCTGTAAAATAAAATAGGACTCACCCAGGAAAGCATATTTAGGATTACAATGTGACTGTGTGAATAGGCTAGCTGAATGCAAATATAATCCTAATATTATTACGACTAATTATCCAAAACACTTTCATAACAAGTTGCATATAATTTCCCGTTTTTACAGATACTGTAGGAGGAGAGCTGTGTTAGTCTATGGTGGCAAAAAAAGGAGTTCAGTTAACACCATTTTGAAGTAGCAAATTTTATTAAAAAGCGTAAGCTTTCATAAGCATATGCCTTTTAATAAATCTGTTAGTTGGAAAAGGTACTATCGGATTTCTCCTGATTTTTTTGTTTCCTTTTTGTGCGTTCTGTTCACATATAGCAAGTAAGTTATTCATATTGCCTCATTTTCTTTTTATTTATTTTTTTTGCAACTGCCTCTAAGAACTCAAATATACACATATATCCATGTGGTTTTGCTTTTTGTATCTCTTACTGTTAGGTCACTTTCAACAAATTAAACTTTCCAGTTGTCTCAGAAATAGGAGGTGTATTACATAGGCATCCTTAAGGTACCTTCAAGAGTCCTTAAGAATTTTCTAAACTAGCTTTTAATGGCTACATGAATAGCCATTATTTTTATGAAACTTAACTTTTATGAGAAAAAAACAAAAGAGAGAGAGAGAGACAAATAGAAAAGGGAATAAGACTAGCTAAAGAACTTTTTTTTAAAAAAAAAACAACTCAGGATACAAACATATAAAAAAGCAACCCTGATCTAACAATGGAATGTGAACTATATTTGACTTAAACAATGTCAAACACATTACTATTCTCCATATGAAATGTTGGTCGCTCTTAAAGAAACAGGGATGTTTAGCAATCTTCTTAACCTGCTTTTTATTTTCCACAGAGCATAATGTTTTGATTCTACAAACTGTCTTATTTACGTTACTATTGCTACATAATGTGGAGAAAAACACTGAAGCTTGTTTTCAGCAAGAAGATGGGCAGGGAAGAAATTTGTTGTACAAAATTATTATTCATTTCACAAGCCATTTAATGAAAGGTGAAAGGCAAATGTATATTTTATTGTTTAACCTCTAATGCAATACTGAACAATTCTACTAAAGGAAGGAAGGAAGGAAGGAAGGAAGGAAGGAAGGAAGGAAGGAAGGAAGGAAGGAAGGAAGGAAGGAAGGAAGGAAGAGGAGGAGGAGAGGAAAGCTTAGTATAAGTTATAGAGGCAATCATAGTACATTACCAGATGATGTAAAGGATCATTTAATATGAAAACATGCCACCTCCAATATAATAAAATCCAAATACAACATTACTGTTTCTGTTATTTGAAAAATATTTGTTTTGGCTAAGATTCTACTGAACAAGACATTAACTGCCAATATCAAATCTCTTTATTAAAACCAAAATACATTCAGATGTTAATTCCCATAATCTACATAAAACTGCACAGCTCACTGACTGGAATGTTAAATCTCCTTATTAATTGGAATTCCTAAAGGTTATTTCCCACATAAAATAAGCTATCCTTTCTTGCTGCCCCAATTAAAAGAAAATCAATACAAATGTCGACAAAATCATATATCAACTCTTACAAGCTAGGTATAGATTTGTCATTACGATGTTATATAATAATTATCTCCCATTGCTGAAGTATCCATAGTACTAGACACATTAATATTTTCTATATTATAGACTTCTTTTAATTTTTTTCTGAAAAAAATATTCCATGAATTTCAGGTTAAAATGTTGCAACTGTATGAAAACCCAATCTCTGAGAATTAATATACTGATTACTAAATTAAGTTTCCATCATCAAGGAAACTGAAAACATTTATTATTAAACATTACCTGAGAAATCCAAAAAAATATTTCCTGTTACTATATTAAATGCATCTTAAAAGTCAAAAGAAATTTTAGTTTTTAAAACAATTTGACATTAATTTAAGAGTACAAAATTCAATCTAATTATTAGAAAAGTTTGAGGTACATTAGTCAGGACATGAATAGGCACGTCTATTTATTTGCAGATGATGTCAGGTTGCTAGCAGAGAATCAAACAAATCTCCACATTTATTTATTTATTAAATTTATATGTTGCCCATCTCACTCTCGGTCCACACAAAAAAGTGAAGCCCCATCCACAGGATGCAGGCAGCACATGAAACCACGCCCTCTCCGGTCCAGAGAAAAACCTTTCTCCACAGAACCAGTCCCTGGTGCCCAAAAGGTTGGGGGCGTCTGATGTAGAGAATGAAAAAGAAAGGGCCAGGGGTCCAATCCAGCAGCACACTGTTATGCTCTTAAATTATGAAACAAATATATGAAGGAAAAGTAAATACGTCAAGAGGAAAGAAAGATTGAGAAAGTCGTAACTGAATAGCACTGAGATCCTTAAAAAGAGAGCTTATCTACAGTTCTGATTGATACATGAAAAGAAATTCTCTATCAAATATATTGTATGGAAAAAAAATTTAAAATTCATTAGCAATGCACATTTACTATCAATGCTCTCTAAGCATCTTGTGCTTACACTTGAATCTGCTTGGCAAAATGACATTTTGATACTTGTTGCAAAATATTTCCTATGTTCTCAATTTTATTTTAGCACTTCAGGAACTAATGGTATTATATTTATTAAGTAATGATGATTTCATGTTTACATGTGTTTTTTAATTGATTGGAAAAATATTCAAACCCGTATGTTGGTGTTCCAGAATGTTGCACTTTTTTTTTTTTGAACACAGCTCATACAGATACTTTTAAGCTTTTACAGGGAAAAAAAACAGATTATAGTAGTGTATAAAGCACAGGTGGTCCTTAATTACTCTGAAAGTGAATTGTCACATGACTGCACTACTTAGCAATGACAGTTGTTAAGTCTGTAGTCCCAGTTCCTGTCATTAGGCCAGGACCGTAACATTATAAAGTGAGTACCTCATGTGTCTCCTGTTTCTGCCATATTCACCTTCACTTCAACCCCCCCCATCGCTGCCCTTTTGGCCATCCTGAGCTCTACTGCCAACACTTATGGCCCACTGATGACCTTCCCTGTCTTCTCCCGCCTACTACTGGCAAGGGATCTAGGTGCTAGATGAGAGTGCAGCTTTAATAGTCTAATCCTGAATTATCAATGTCCATAGTGGAAGGGGGACAAATTGCCTACTTCACTATATAATCATGACATTGGTGTCATTACATAATTGAGTGTGTTCTGTCAATTTGGTGTCACTGTAGTTTGTCGCAGATGTATCTGCCCAAACTCTTTAAACCATGGCCTGCAGTACATAAATGGAGTAATACCTTCTTCCTATAATAAACTATACTGAGAAATTGTTGCAAGCTGCTTTTCACTGTATTAGTAAGTGGCATTGAAGTACCTGATATAAGCTTACCAATCTAGAAGTTTCTTTTGAAGTTAATCACATGCTATCTACTATATTATATTCCTACATGCATAGGAATCTGAATTCCTTCTCCTCGATGTACAAAAGTGGCAAAAACAAATACTTACCCAAAATGCGGACTTTAAATTTTCCACTTTGTCCAAAGCCTCCTTCTATTACACCTTCTTCTCCTGTAGATAGCTTGACCTTCAAACCCACAAACATTTGAATGTTTGTTTCTTTTTTAAATAATGAACGACCAATCACACTATAATCATCACACAGCTGCAAATTAAACAAAGGAAAAAAGGAAAACAAAATTGTTTTGTATAATATGCATATATTATTACTTCTACACTGCATTCCTATACTACCAGTAGTATTATAAATAGTTTTCTAAACTACATATAAGAACAGTCCAGCATGTAGTACATTATGATAATTAACCTAAAGATTATGCACTGTTATTCTAGGATCACTTTTTTTATAAACCATTATATCCGATATATCAGCTGAAGGCGATAAAAAGCACCTCTAACCACTGGTTTAATCTGAGATACAGAGCATGTCTTGAATGAAGAAACAGTTCAAAACTGCATAATTTTTCCATCTGTAGAAAAATAACTCCATCTAGAATAAAATATCTACCATGTCTCTAAATTTATTACCCTTCACACTGAACAAACTCTTCAATCCTGCTTAAATTCCATTTCAGTTTATTAACCATCATTCAGCCCATTATCACTTATAGGTACGCTTTCGGGAGAACTAATTTGGGGCATCATCATCATATTGATATTACCCAGCACCAAACACCCAATTCATCCAAATATTGGAATGATGTTTTTAGATGTTAAATAGTAAAGGAGACAGGATGAAATCTTCAGATACATCATCAAAAGCTCACACTTTGAATAGTAAGTGTGTACTAGAAGCCATCCTCAGACAAGATAGTTCATAGTACTAAAAAAAAAAAAATCACGATAGCCCAATAAAATCAATAGTTAACCCTAACAATTTCTAAATGAACATTGTTTAAGAGCTTACAAAGAGATTGTCAAACTGAAAACAAGGAGTCCAGATAATGACCTTCTTCCAGGGGCTGTGTGAATTAAAAAGGCCACAACTTTATAAAACATCTTGTTTAATCAAGTCACTTTAACAGTTGCCAATCTGAGAAATGTAACACATGCTAAAAGGCATAATAATTGCCTCTTTAAATTGGGCTTTTATGGTAACATTAAAACTTGAATCAAGTTCAGCTAATGGTGACTAAATTCATACTAAATTCGCATAATATTCTGGGCAACCATACATCTTCCAAGTTTTTCCATTCTTGCCTGCAACTCTGGAATGTCTTGGTGATTTTGTATCCAAGTACTAGTAACAAGGCTTGACTCAGTTGTTTTGGGATCAGAACGATACAGGTCAGGGGTGAGGAACCTTGGTTCTTTTATGACTTGTGGACTTCAACTCCCAGAATTCCTGAGCCAGCATTTCTTTTTCTTGTGCTATTTTTTATGTTTTCTATATTGTTTTTTTAAAAATATTTTAACAATTTTAAACTGACCTGAGTTGGTAGGAGTCAAGTGGCATATAAATTTAATAAATTATTATTATGGTTGATCTCACAGTCAGCCAGATGTTTAGGCTGGATTTGGCATTTTTGCACAACCTGTCGAGTCTTTCCTAAGGATCTGGGATAGGCAGATGTTGTTTAATAACACTAAAGCTATCACCACAAGATATAAGCTGTTCCAAATAAAGCTGCCTTTTGCAATTGCCTGATGGTAATTTTGTCAATGCCAGTGGTAGTAAAAGATGCTTCGGATGTTTGGAATTGCACCCAAGGTTCCTTAATAAATCATGATTATTAAATGGAAAGCTGGTGGAGGTAGAGGTAGAAGTGAATTTTAGCGATAAAATTAGCGACATAATTTTTAGTGATTATGATATATACCTAATGCAAGAACGAGAGGTTATATCTACTGTTATTATAAAAGATGAATAAAACATTACCGTAGATATCTAGTGTATGGTGTCTGAACACAAGTTGTTATTGTGCTGAAAAGGCTTAACTTTTAAAAAATTTCTTACATATTGACTATTTTTTGTGAAATAGTAAATTATTGATAAACAGGTATTACAAGTATGACCCAGAGGGATCATATCTTCCTTATAAAATAATTGTGAAATAATTGGCTCTTATTAAATATGTCTATTTAATTTGGATATCAATGATAGATTAGCCACTTGCCACCTAATGAAATTACCAACAGAATTGACCGACTAATTATGACATGGTATTTCAATCCTTTGATGTTGATTGATTTTAGTTCAGGATTAGTCTGTTGGGTATGGCTTACAGCAGGTGTGTCAAACTTGCAACGTCACATGACGCATCACAATGTGTCGTGACTTTTTTTCTATTGCCGGCAATGAGATGGGTGCGATTTCAGCACGACGCATCCGGCCCGTGGGCTGGCAGTTTCACACCCCTGGGTTAGAGGTTCAATCTAGCTATGACAACTGTGGGCATATTCCATTTGTATTAGGAGTAATATATTTTTCTTGCCAAAAATATAATTTAGCTTTTTGTTTCATGAGATATTCCAAGCTTGGGGATCCCTGTGGGGCCTTTTCCCTCTCATGGATAGCTAGTAATGGTTGGATTTAAATAATTAAATATTTCAGTCAAAAAAACTGATAAGAGTCTGTGGTGTCCTAGAAAGCTTTGGAAAAGTTCTAAAATTGATATTGTCAATGATATTGTTATTCTTTTCTGTTAGAAGTTGGGAATAAAACTCAGTAGGACATTCACACAACTGCTTACAAATATCTCTGATCGGATTCTGAATTGCCTCTATAATACCTAATGTAATGTAATGTTAATGTAATGTAACATAACATAATGTAATATCTGCAGTAACTGAAGCAATGGAATAGAAACAGCTTTAATCAGGTAATTAATAAGATAGAATCCATACATGCACTGAAGTAAGAAGGAAATAGTTCTGAGCTATGGAGGGGTTAAAAATATCTCCTTTCTCCATGAACTCAAATTTGAAATTTTGGATGATCTATGATGCTTTTGATTGCTTTTTTTTTTGTCAAATTAGGTGTACTGTCGTTAAAAAGTAAATTTCAGAGATGTCCAGCAACGTTTCTTGTGCTGTTAAATTAACAGTGCTTAGAAGACTTTGACAAATCCTTATGGATGTCTGCAAAAGTTTGGTGCTTTCATCAAAATAATAAAAGCAGCATTGTACATCAGGCGCCATTCTTTCATATATGCATGCAACATCACAATGCAGTTATAAAAAGCAAGTGCTTGGACCGAAACACCATTTTTATAATTCTGTTCTGAGTCCTCCCACTATACAGGACTACACAGGTACAGTCTCTGCTGCTATACAGATAGTCCTTGATTTACAACAGTTCATTTAGTGACCGTTCAAAGTTACACTGGCACTGAAAAAAGTGACTTATGACTGTTTTTACAATCATTGCAGCATCCCCACGGTCACACAATCAAAATTCAGATGCTTGGCAACTGATTCATATTTATGATGGTTGCAGTGTTCCAGGGATATGGGATCACCCTTTGCAACCTGACAAGCAAAGTCAATGGGGAAGCCAGATTCACTTAACAACCATGTGACTAACTTAACAACTGGGGCAAGAAAGGAAGAAAGTCTGTGAAAAGCCATATCGACTCCTGGATGACAACAGCCATCTCTACTCCCCTTCCAGAGCTCTTGGTTTGTTGCAAAACAAAACACCCAAGTGGATATATTTCCTAGAGGAGAACCCCCCCCCCTGTTCCAACCAGGTGTTAGTAAGACATGCCAGGTTGGACCTCTCCCCCAAGATAAGAATCATAAATTAGGGTAGCCTTGTTACACACTTGACCTGGTATTCAAAAGCAGAAACCAAAAGTTCAGAGCCACCAAGGATCCTCTCTGCAGAGGAAGAAAAAGAAGAAGAAAACACTCCGGTCCTCCTTACCTCCCCCCCAGTTCAGTAGTAGGGCAAATCACCCCTAGGCTAAAAAAAGGGTCAGCACCTGTGGACCTCCACTCCACCCAATAACATCCAGAGGGATGGAGTCAGCCACACTTCCATAGGTTGAATCGTTGGTGAGCTGGAAACTTTGCTGCTTTGAGCCTCTGCGTGTGTCTCAGGCCTTCACAGCCTTCCCAAGCCCCAAGGCCAACACTGTGATTTTCTAGGTTTCCAAGGTCACTACTGGGACTGCTATGGCCTCTGTAGCCCTCCACAGCCTCCATAGCCAGAATTCCTATGCCTCCACGCCCTCCATACTTCCGCCAGCTGGAATCCCTGTGTCTATTCCTTTCAATCCCTTGGCTGATTTTCTAAACCCTGGGTAGACTGTTGATGGATTTTCTCCCTTCACTGGAGGTCTCAACTTCTCCTCCTTTTTTCCTGTTCTATCCCAGTGAAACATCTATCCTTTAGCAGTAGTGAGGTGGGCACATGCTTGGATTCTTCATGGATCCAGAGAATGACAATGTTAGATCAGTTCTTGAAAGAAAAATGATTTAGATAAGAGAAGGGTTATATTATCTTCAGCAAATGAACCAGGATGCAATCTGGCTCTTTAATAAAAATTTCCACCAGTCTTTTCTACTTTAGTTAGCCCGATTTGATGTAATTGTTAGGAGAATCTGAGTAAATAGTACCTGAAGGCTTGAGAAAACAAGCAGGAGAATATAGGAAATTAAAACACCATAGGGCAAAACATTACAGCTTTGAAGAAGCTATACGGCAGTCAAGGTAAGGAGACTATGCAAAAGAAAAGTCCTCAGATATCTGTCTCTATTCCTATTGACACATTTATCTCCATACCACTTTCATATTTGGAAAATATTTTGCCTGCATGAATAAGACAAAATATTTCAGGCCAACTTTCAAAACTTCAAGTTTAAAGTTAAAATGTAATCATGTTCATTACACTTAATGTTTTAAACCAGCTGCACTGAATTTAATTTAAAGATTATTAAACCAGTGGGAGTCAAGTTTGGATTCATAATTAAGCAATCATATATAAGAGGCAGCAAGCTTGTTGCACAGGGAAAGATAAACATGCTTCCTTGGGCACTGGCAAAGCAAAGATGCAACCAAGTGAACCTAATTCCCAAGGTATGAATATTTGTGATTACTACTAACCCCTGAAGATACTAGGTCTCTGTGTTATGTCAAAGCGTCCTGATACGAAAGAGAAAAGAAAATGTTGAAAAAATAAGAGAAAGTGTTGTTTGATT